CCATAGTGGGCATCCTTCCCTTAAGAGGTGCTAGAAACATCACAGCCTTGTAAAGAGATGTATATTTGGTACCAATGGGTTGCACACCTTGGATGCAATTTCATTAGACTTTGACCTTCTCTTGTGAAAACAAAACAAAACAAAACAAAACAAAACAAAACAAAACAAAACAAAACAAAACAAAAAAAAACAACCAGACCACCACCACCAAAAAAACCAACCAAGGCTTCAGTATTAACATACTTACCTACAGAAGTAGTTAAGGCTTGAGGCGACATTACATTTTCAGGAAACACACTGATGATTTAGTGAGCACTGTGGTGATGGGTTGACGGTTGGACCAGATGATCTTAGTGGTCTTTTCCAACCTTAATGACTCTACATATTTAAATATTTTGACAAAATAATTAATAAGTCATTATTACAACCGTGGAGTCAAGCTGTCAGGTTAGGAAGTGTCAGAACTAAAAGCAAATACCTACCAATGTACACAAAATAGTAGGTACTGTGTCACAGGAGACTTACAACAATGACAGCACCTAAAAGAAGCCACAACACCATAACTTTGGAAACACAGTTTAAAAATCTCCCACTGAAAAGCACTAAGGTGCTAAAAACTTAGGGAAATGAAACTTGAGATACTCCATCTCTACACTCATCAGACCAGTGAGCCACTGGACTCTAAATGTATGACATCAAGAGCTGGAATAAAAACAAAACAAATATCCGCATCCAGAGAACAGAAACAAAACCCACACAGGTGTATTTATTTCTTTATTTAGAAGTAAAAGCGTGACATTTCTGTCTACGAGCCACTGACATCCGGCGTGGTAAATTCAAAGACAGAAAGATGTTCTTAGCTTCCAGATTCCTTCCTTTCACCCTGGAGCTTTGCCCAAGCTCTTACACATCACATGACAGACTCATTCAAGGCAGCCGCTGCAGCTCCAGCTTTTCAGCTGACGATGCTTCAAAGACATCATCTTCAACACTTTCTTCTATGGGCTTCATCTTTGCTGAAGTTCTCAGGTAGGGTGATGTCCGGCCTGGGCCTGCCACAGTGCCAAAGAAATTAGCAATTAATTTAACAATACATACTTGCTATTCATACCGATCTGTAACACGGAGTGCAGACTCTGATGATCCTTGTCTAGTTCTCTCATAAGAGGATTTTATGACTGAAGGTTTCTTTTTTTTTATTTGGCCACAGGCATGAAGAAATCCTAGGTGCAGGACAGCCAAGCTGACATGCACCAAGAACACCTTCAGGCTTCAGTGCAAATCCTGACTGCATGAGATGCACACCTTGGTGTTCTTGAGAACCATTTTCTCATTGTTAGACCTGATACAGGCTAGTTTGTTTAGGGGATCAGTATATCAGTTTAAAAACCAATATAATTGTTTAGCAAAAGGAATCAATGAGTGCTAGTTCTAAATCTTTCCATTTCAACTTTGCTTGGTGTGTAAATAGCCTTGTTTATCTCAACTTGCAGGAATAGCCTTGTTTCTCTCAATGATTCTGCTTCACAAGAAGCATTGGAGCCATAACAGACTACTTCTATCTTTGCATCTACCAGGTGCAAGGTCCTCTTCCTCAGATTTCTCATATATTGGATCAGAGTGCACTAAGATACAAGTTGCTCATTATGGCTTAGCAAGCAAAACAAGTTTGTCAAATTGGGGAAAAACAGCTACAGGTCAGCCAGAAGTCTCTGTGATGAACCTGATGATGTAAAAACAGGGAGAAAGTAAGTGGTCAAAGACCACAGGCAAGTGCTACTGCACACTCCCAGAGGGATATAAGCATATATTATTGAGTTCTTGGAAAATCATGAATATGCATGCAAATGTATTGCATATATATGCCTTAGTTGTTCAAATGCAGAAGCTGAGTCTGAGACAGCAAGCTTGTTTTGTCAAGTTGCTCAGCAGCTATCGTGAGGAATAAAGGAATGCCACTTTCTAACACAAGAGAGTTTTCTTCCCAGACTTCACATTTTTCTCCTAAAGGACACTGGACTGGTTGCCTACATACAGAAGTTCCATACATCTGCATACTTGCTCTCGCCATGAAACAACTCTCACATTTGCTGGCTAACCTCAGCCAGGTACATGACCTCAGCCCTAACTGCCCTAAGCTTGTAGGCAGCTGAACAGCTACCAACATCCAAAAGGAATAGAGAAAGCTCTGAAACACCGTTTCAGAAGAAAAAAGCAAGAGGCAGTGGTCCTGTCTGATTGATCACCTGCATACAACTTACAAATACAAATTTTCTAGAAAAAAGAACTAATAGCTATCACACAATCATTCAGGGTTGCTCTCACTACATAAAAAAGCGCTTCTGCTGAGGAGGCCGATGAGGAAGGACTTCTTTCTGCAGCATATTTCACACAAAGAACAAACAACGCTTGCCTCAGGCAAGAACAGTGAGTGTTATGGTATTGCATTTTTAAGTCATATTCACATAAATGCTGTTTAGCTTTCTAGAATTTTTATGTTAAACGTATTAGTAATTCATTCTACCATTCAAAATGCTATTTTACTGGCACGATAAAGGTTACTCACACATTTTTAAGAACTGGAACTGTTAAGCACTCCTTTCTACACAGATGGGCTTTTCTACAACCACAAAACCTTGCCTGTTCATGCCTCCACGCAGTGCTGAACAGAAGCTTGAGACTGAACCAGATTCAAATGCAGGCCTTCCATACACTGCTCCTGCACTCTCCTGAGGTGCTAAACTCAAACACCTATTAAAATACCAATTTTGCTATAACCCACAAGCTGGGTCAACATGGCAAGCACACAGTGAGAAAAGGCCAATAAACATACTATCTAAACAATATGTTCCTGCTTAGCTCAGAAATTTACAAATCCAGATTCATAGATCAGCAACTTTGAGTGATCTAAAGCAAGTGCTGCAGGGCTGGAGCACCTCCCCTATTAAAAAAGCTTGAGAGAAATGGGCTTATTTAGCTTGGAGAAGAGAAGGCTCTGGGGAGACCTCATTGTGGCCTTCCAGTACTTGAAGGGAACATATAAACAGGAGGGGAAACGGCTGTTTACAGGGGTGGATTGTGATAGGACAAGGGGGAATGGTTTTAAACTGAGACAGGGAAAGTTTAGGTTAGATATTAGGAGGAAATTCTTCACCCAGAGGGTGGTGAGGCACTGGAACAGGTTGCCCAAGGAGGTTGTGGATGCCCCATCCCTGCAGGCATTCAAGGCCAGGCTGGATGTGGCTCTGGGCAGCCTGGTCTGGTGGTTGGTGACCCTGCACATAGCAGGGGGTTGAAACTGGATGATCATTGTGGTCCTTTTCAACCCAGGCCATTCTATGATTCTACGAAAAGACACTAACTATATCATTAATAAGTATGACTATCAAACAATGGATTTACTGAGCAGTACTAAAACATTTTTAAAGAACTGAAAAGCAGCTGAATCTGTCCTTTTGATTGAGTTTAACTACTTCTGCTTATCATATGCTTTGGAAAAAGAGAAATAATTTCATTTATTAACAAGTTACATACAGACGGATCACGTTTGTGAAGCACATGTACCATAACACACAAATCTCACACGAATACCTTTTGGAGGACGCTTGCTGAGTTAATGTGATGTTATCAACAGAAAGCATCATGCTGCAAACGACTCACTCCGTAAGCATTACAGAACTCATGTTGGTTATTTCCTTAATATAAAAGCAAACAGTTAGTCAGGTTTCTTAATTACATTTAAAACACAGTTCTGTTAGTAATTGTAGTACGTGGCCAATCACTTAGAATTTTTCAATCTTTCATTGCTAAGCACTTTGAACTTAGCCTTACATCAGTTTTCTTTATGAAATGAGTTGGTAATTTTCAGAATGGCTAAAAGCATAATTCTTTGGATTATACAAAATAATAAATGTTCATGTTTTCAAGAACATGGAAACATGGAAATTAAGAGAATAAAATCTGTTTTAGTTGTAGTAGTCATATATCATATCTGTAAAGGGAAGCTTCTGTCCACACACTTGATCATCCAGCAATGACAAGACAGAAACTGTGCAGAACTTCTGTATGCTGCATTTCTTTCATCTGTTGCTTCTTCTAAAAGAAATACAGCTGTTACTTCCACATGTTCCTCACTGAATATTCTTTTTTGTTTGTTTGTTCTTAAGAAATTAGTGCATGATTGCAGGAGAATTCAGGGGAACAGCACTGGGCCCTCTGTATGTACCTCACACTGAAAACTAAAGAACACACATGAAAAAAGACTGACTGTGCTGTGTGACAGCACTGAAGGTTTTTGAAAACAGAACAGCAGAAAGGTAAATGGCAGCTTTTTTCCTTCAGCTTTCTCTGCGATCTGAGAGAAAGTATGTACATGGCCACAGCACAAAGGCAGTACAGCTCTTCAGACAGAGCTCACCTTGGTAGCAAACACATCATTGGGCAGCAGCATTACACAAGAAAAACAAACTAACAAGTTATTTTGGCAAAAAGAAAAAAATAAAGCGTTATGATTTAGTCAGGCAAAACATCTTTTATCAACTGCAGGAGTCAAAATTCCACATTAATCAAAATGCAAAGAACAAACTGATAGCATTTCCTGAGGCGTACTTCTACACTGCACTGTGAGTAACCCCCCCTGCCTCCCCAGACATAAGAGAAACATTGTACTCCAGAGGCTGCTATCACACCTCTTGTTGCCAGTGATGTGGCAGTGGCACAGCCAACTGTTGTTCTCAGAGCATCTAAGAAATTTCCATCTCTCTCTTGAGCAAAGCACACACCACACACCAGAAAAAATGCGATACACAAACCCAGAGACATACAACAGAAAAGTGTTTTTAACAAGCATTTGCTAAGAACGGGTGCATCTCAGGAATCAATGTAATTACAGGTGGAAATGTCAAGCATTTAGATTACTTTCTCCCAAAGCTGAAATACTGGTGTAAGCGTTCTGCTTCTAGGCCTGAAAGAGAATTTTAAATCCAGCTAATTGTACAAATACACTTCTTTCAGGCTTCTGAGAGTGCCAGTTTGTTTAAGTGCCTTCTATGCAAAGAACTGGCTTCAGTGCATGGAGATCTGCCTTGAAACAGGTGAAAAGCCAGCTGAGAGCTTATGGGTAAAGATCAGAGAACAGACCAACACAAGCAACTTCACAGCAGGTATCTGCTTCCTGAACAAGAAGAGCAAGTAGATGGAAGCCTTCTTCAGATAGCTGGATGATGTCCCACAGTTGAAGGCCTGGATGCTTGGGAGCTCTGACTGCCCACGTCTGGTGGCAGCAGTGCCGGGCACGAGCAGGCCAGGAGGTTTCTGGAGACTGTAGTAGACAATTTTCTTGCAGGAGCGATCGATGAGGCGACTAGGGGAGGTGCTCCGCTGGACCTGTCACTGGCGAACAAGGAAGAACTCATCAGGGAGGTAAAGGCTGATGGTAACCTTGGTTGCATCTTCCAGAAGCTGGTGGATTTTAAAGATACTGAGAGAGGTGTGCAGACAAACAGGAGAGTTACAGCCCTAGATTTGAGGGCAGCGGACTGCAGCTTAGTCAGGGATCTACTCAGTAAAACAATGGGGCCATGGTCTGCAAGGGCAAAGAGACCCAACAATGGCTGGCTGATCTTCAAGGACATCTTAGAACACAAGGACAGTTGATTCCCAAGTGCAGAAAGTTGAGCAAGCGTGGCAGAAGGCTGTCACAGAGGTACAGGAAAGTTCTGACAGAGCTCAGACACACGTACAAAGTGAGAGCAAGGATGAGCTCAGGAAGAATACAGAAACATGGCCCACACATGCAGGGATGGAACCGGGAAAGCCAAAGCTCAGCTGGGCTTGGATCTAGTGAAAGACAACAAGAGCTTCTCCAAACACACTGGCAACAAAAGGAAGACCAGGGAAACTACGAGGCCATGGCTCAGAGGGGCACAGGATCTGGGGAGAAAGCAGATGGAAAAGGCTGAGACAATCCACATCTTTCTTGGCTCAGTTTTTAAACTGGTGAAAGTCTGTCCTGAGGCTTCCCAGGTCTGCAAGTGTAGTGGCACAGACTGGGAGACTGATACTTTACTTACAGGAGTTGGACTGAGTTAGGGACTGCTAAAGTCAACAAGCCACATGAGAGACTTTGGAACTTCCTGTTCTGCATCCACGAGCACTAAGGGGGGGCTGAAGGAATTGTGAGGCCACCTCTATCACCTTTGAAAGGTCACAGCAATCAGAGAAGAGAAAAGGCAAATGTCATGTCCATTTTTGAAAAGGACAAGGAGAAAGATCCAGGGAACCAGTGTTCTATCAGCCTAGTCTGAGGTTCCCAGAAAGATTCTGGAGCTTATATTCCTGGAAGCTGTGTCAAAACATATGAAGGGCAGGAACATCGCTGGGAACAGCCGCCGTGGATTTACCATGCTCAGATTGTACCCCACCAACCTGACCACCTTCTGTGGTGAAATGACTGGCCCTGTGGATGGAATGTAGTAAATGCTGGATCATAACAAGGCCCCAGGCAGCTTGCCATCAAATCCATCCAGAGAAATTGTTGACTGGACTACAGCATGGGCGTAAACTGGTAGGATTGCTGAAATCACAGATAGTGAACAGCAGTACAAAATCCAGCTGGCAGCTGGTTACCAGCAGTGCCCCTCACAAGTCAGTACCAAGGCACATAAACTTCAGCATATCTTTATTAATGACCAGGGTGATGAAACAGAAAGCACTCTGGCTAATTCATTCACGACAGCCACATAAAGAGGGAAACCATATCCCAGAGGACAGAGCTGTCAGTCAGATGGGGCATTCAGAAGCTGGACAAATGACATGAGGTTCAGAGTCAAATTCCTGCACCTGAGACACTACAGGCTAAAATAGCATTATAAGTTAGGCACTAACTTGTTTGTAAAGCAACATTTCAGAAATAGACCTGGGGGTCCTAGTGGACACCAAACCAAATACAAGTCAGCCATGTGCCTCTGCAGTGAAGAAGGTCATTCACAAATTGTGCTGTATTAGCAAAAGCACAGCCAACATATCAAAGAAAATGGTTATTCTCCTGGATGTGGAGTGCTGTGTCTAGTTTTGAGCCCCCCTGTACAAGACAGACAGACATACTAGAAAGAGTACAGTGAAAATAACCAAGGTGGTCAGGCTGGAGCACATGGCATACACGGAGAAACTGTGAGAACTGGGTGTGCTCAGCCTTACAAACAGAGGACTCACAAAGAATCTTACTGTTGTCTCCATCTACCTAACAGAACAGCAAAAAGAAGACAGATTCTTCTCAGAGGCATGCATTGAAGAACAAGGGAAACAATCGTAAGCTGCAGTAAGGGAAATGTTTTTCACCACAAGGGTGGGAAGGTGCTGGAATGGGTTGCTCAGAGAAGGTGTAGGATGTTCAACCATGAAAATATTTTAAGCTGTGAGGAACACAATGGAACAATTACATGGTAAAGTATTTTTCTTCCCTTAACTTCAGCAGAATTTAGCCACAATAAATAATTGCCAGTGATTCTTTCCCTCATACATCTAAATTCTAACTACTCAAGAAAAAAATATTCCCTGAGTCAAAGTAAATAATACTATGTGACCCTTTATTATTGCTAAACAGCTTATATTTAGCAATAAACATAAAACAGACAAGTGAGCATCTTCTGTTATGCTGTTGTTACTGTTTTTAAAAGCTACTTTCTGAGTTCAGACTATTGTTAAAGTTTAGATTCGGGAAAATTAAAAGTAAACAAGATCAAAAGCCTAGAAAGAATTGTTTAAAAGGATTCTTAAAGGAATAAATTCCTAGACTGGAAGCTAAAGGTCAGACATGGCTTCCCTCACTTTGTTCCGTACTGATCCCATCATACAAAGCACAGGGAAGTAGAGCCTGGCAGCACATTTGGAGATTTTCCAGGTGGCCTCAAAATTAGTTGTGCACCATCCCTCTCCAGATGCTGCCAACACAAACTGCCTCAGAGGAAATGCAGAGCACCCCGTTGATGAGGGTAAGCGTATTTTAACTTCTACAAGCACTAGTCACAGACCAAAGGAGATAGCACTGTGACAGGCACTGTGCATTGACACTATTTTGCTCCACTGCTATAAACATTCCATATTATATCTATACGTCCACATTATACTGCAAAGGATTACAATACACGTAGCTTTTTCCACTGTCTACATGAAGTAGCTTCAGTTAGCATACTAAGCCTTAGGCATTTACAGATTCACTACCGTCACTTCCCTACATTTGGCTGGTTTACAGCAGCATCTCATAAGCTACATTCTGCTTCCACTGAAGACAACAGAAGTTCTACAACCATCTTCAGTGATCAACCAAGCTGTGTTCAAAACTGGTATGAACCATTTCTGAGCACTCACGAAGAGAAGATGAAGAGGAAGTCCCACGAAGAAACATCTGCAAGCCATCCTCACTGTCACTGGTACTGGCCATACTGTTCCTCATCTGCATCACAGAGAGCTGAGAGCAAAGACTTGGCTGCCGATCAATCTTTTTTGAGGCCTTAAAAAAAATAATAATAAAAAATTAGAAAAGGGATCAAGTAAATTAAAAATTAAAACAGAAAATAGCTATTTCTTCTGTAGCTGACAGTCTGGTCTCAGCTGTGACTTTAAATCACGGAACAGCAAAAGATTCCATGCAGTGTAAATTGATTTAATGCAGATACAAGATGCCAGTAATACACTGGAGTTAGAACATCAACAGCCATGAATTATTCACTTTTAATTCTTCTTTGTACTGACTTCTCAGGTATTTTCCTACAGACAAATTTCTTTTTATTGTCTGGCAATTCATCACTAAGTTACTGCAATCATATAGGGCTTTCATGACATTTTACCTTATGAACTGGCTCTTGATTCTGATGAAAACAAATGAAATGCATTGTGTGACCATTACTCTCTATGCAAAGACCTTGGAATTATTTTCCATTTACTTGGAGTACTCTGAGATACCTCATATCACATTTATATGAAACAATACATTGTATCTCATTAGGTATTATTAAGAGTCAGAAGGACACCTGTACCCAAAAGGTACAATGTGCATGACAAATGCATACTGTATAACTCAATTCTATTGAACTTTATTTAACAGTCAAGAATTACCACTTCATTTCTTGTAGAATGATGGTTTTCTGAAGTCTTTGTGATGCATCAGTTATAATAGTCTTTCATGCAACTACCTTCTCTAAAATTAAGGAGCTGCTGCAAACTAAAGTGAAAATATCATTTAATGAAAAAATATACAGATATTTGGCTTCACAGTCTTATGTATATTTGTGTGAGCTCTTCTAAATGACTCATGAATGAAATATATACTCAGTGTATAAATAACTCCAAGCTGCTGTTAGCTGGAATAAAGTTAAAAGGAACTTCTCTGCTCATACTGATACAGCTGCATGTCATGAAGCCATATTTGAACCCTATAAGGATAAACACAGACAGGGTAAATAAAGAAAGTCAAAGTCCCTTTCAGCCCTGATCTCACCTAGCCTGATGGGCTGGGCATCTATTTGACTTTCCAGGCTCTGCAGATACAACTGAACATCAATCAAAAGAAGCATTTTGAATAGTGAGGACTGCCACATGATGACAGCAATACCTGCACTTGCAGCACAACACAAGGATTTGATATTTGGCAGGTATGATAAGGACTTTTCACTTAAAAATCAATGAATTAAACTCTTACACTGAGTATTTCATGTGGTACTATCAAGAAATACTACTGCTACAGTTTTGTTGTGCCAGATGTCAGCAACACAAGTGTCTTGTGGATAACTTTGTACACCAGGCACAATAAGAACATCCTAGTGTACCTGGAGTCATCCACGCATTAAAAAGAAGAGAATGATAAATGGGGCAGATAAGCAGAGAGAAAGGTAGAGAAAAAAGAAAATAAACAGGAAATAGAAGAAAAGAAAAAAAGATGAGGGGAAAAAAAAGAAAATTGATAAGGAACATGGGAAACAGCAGTCACCTTGGAGATGCTGGCTGAATGCAACCCATAGAGCACAAAGGAGCATGTTGCCACATGTTTGTTCCAGTTGCCATACTCCAGAAATGACTTTCTACACAAGTATTTTTCTTCTTCTTTTTTTTTTTTTTTTTTTTTAAAATACAGTACATCTCTCTCCTGTTTTCTTGCCATCCTTTCACCATCCCCCCTCCAAAAAAAAAGTTAACCACATATTTTATAAGAAGTACATTATAGATGGTATATATATTCCTGCTAGATCACTTATCTTCTTGCATTAGTAAGACTTACAACCTCAGATGATGAATGAAAACAAGGACCTTCAATAGTCTTGAGGATCTAACTGCACAACAGGGTAACCCTCTGTTTCAGTGACCAGTATAATTTTGTAGGTCCTTAACCAGAAGGCAGAACAAGCAGTGCTTTAACAACTGTCCTTCCAACACTCCTTTATTTCTCTCTTTCTATAGCCTACAGAAAATTCAGAGAACTTTCAGTATTTAATTAATCATAAATACATTACAAAATATATCAGTAGGCTTCACGTGTAAAGAAGCAGCCACTCCTTTTGAATCTTTTTTCCAGTATATTCATAACTTTGCAGAAATAACTATTTAACATATATTTATAAATGGGCAACGTGATAAGGATTTTTGCTTTGAGTTGGTGCAAGTTAATAAATACAGAATATGAAAACACCATATTAACATTTTCCAAGCTTTTCATAAATGATGGTGAAAGATCTTCAAGTAAATTATGTATGAGAATCCTACAGCCAGTACATAAAGAATAAAAAAAAACCCCACTACCAGCAGCCGAGTGGCATCCCTTGCAAATGTTGAAAAGCCCTGTAACTATGGAAGGAGACAAAGTGAAAGTAAAGTAAGATAATAGGATATAGACTACAATAGATATAGACTACAAATAGGCCACTTACCATGATACCTGAAACATTCAAAGAAGAATGAGTTAGTCAGAGTCCTTAGCAAAGGTATTTATACAGATTTCATGTCTTTTCCCAGTGACTATCAACTCGACATTTCCCTTTTTCCCCCTTATATCTACAACCTGCAAACACACTTCAATGTTATTTTTCTTGGCAAGATGTATTAATGCAGCTGTTTGATTCCAGCACAGGAGTTCTTTTAAAAATATCCTGAAGCCTCTTTGTACAAAGGTACCCATTTATTAGTAAGAGAAGATATCCAGGGAGAAGCACCTTTTATCTGCTGGGCACCACGTCCACCAGCTGATTAGCCAATCTGTTCAGAATCTGTTATTCACCTTTCTTGCACACTGCAGTGCTAACAATAACCAGTATCAATGACTGACAAGAACACTGCACTGACACACACTTTGGCATTAAAAGGCAACAAATATGAATTCAGCAGCCCATAGTGGCAGATTAAAGAAAAAATAAAAGGTACTTTAAAGTTGAAGCAATGATACATGTACTTGTGTGTAAATTCCAAAATGAAACTGCAGTTGCTTACCTTGTCATTTAAGGTTGGGTCATTCAATGAATAGAGTTTATTTGTAATATCTTTGCCAATAAGATACTTAAAGATCTCATAAAGAAATGGCTCAGTTTCCAGAAAGTATGTCAGTCTTTCTCTGGACCAGCAAAGGAACTTGCAATTATCATCTGCAATAATGGTGACCTGAGAAAACACACATGGAATTAGCTCTTCTCTTTTGCTTGCAAATAAATGCTACCATTCCATTTGTGCCTCTAGTTAAAATAAATTTAAAGCCATATAACTTTTTGATATCCCTTAGAAAATTGTATTTACAAATGTAAATCTTCTCAGATGGTTATCATTATCAGATTTTATCTGATAAACAGACCAGTTTGTTTTTCAAGAAATCTAGTGGGAGATAATATGAAGGGGAAATCTCTCAGAAGTCCAAAACAGCAAACATTTATGTTAGAATAGATTTATACACAGAGTCAGTCCTGTACTGATGACACATCCCAACAGGCCTGCTACTTGGTTTTAATTCCTGTGACTGTGCCCAAGTAGGAAGAACTGCAAGCCAAAGTTTTCCATGAATGAGTTTAAAAAAGGATACAGTAAAAAACAAAACATAATGCCTTTTTCTCTTCTACCTCAGACCTCTGGATCTCACAAGCACTGCTTTGCACTTGGACCAGGGACCCATTGGCTTAGGTACTGACAATTCTGCTGTGGATGGCTGCAGTCAAATTAGGTAAGCTGTAACACCTACAAATTCCTGGTCACTTGTCCAGCTATGCCAGAGGAGGGCAGTGGCAGACAGAAATCAGCTCTGGGATGTTGCAACTGCATGCTTTGCAAAAGGAGTTCAGAAGAATTTATGAAGTGTCCTATCACAAACTACTTTTATCTAAAATATTTATATACATACACATGTAATATAAATACACACACACGCATGTATGAATATATATATAAAGCCTAAGATAAAATGGAAAACTGTCACATACACTAGAGTTTTAACTTTACAGTCTGTGACAGAGGAATATCAACTTGGGAAGAACTTGGCAGCATTGCCAGCAGATGGAGTCCCTAGGACGAAATTTTCATCCTGTGTTGTTGGTGCTGCCAAGAACATTTGTGTCTTAGCATACTGCAAGCAAACCTCACAAGTGAAGGATACACAAAGCACCAAGACTGCAATAACTTTCCAGGCAGGCACAAGGAGGGGCGTGATTCTTTACCCCTTCAGCAGAACTGATTCATATCTAGTAATTCATGGGAGAAATAGATGGTATCAATAGGGTACAGCACTGCCGGACGCCTCGCTGCCACAAAATGAATATGTCCTGACAACCATCTCCCTCTGGCACTAAGCCTACTGCTTGACTGGAACGTGTTGCATCAATCACTGATTTTAGATTCTGCCCTACTCTTCCTGCCTCCTCCTCTGCCACAGTATCAGCAGGGATGTATCCAGTCCAGCCACAGGCAGTCAATATTACACATGCAGTTGAAGAATAGCAGGAGGTAAACAGTGATTTCAGTACTATGTGGCAAAAACCCTCTCTAATAGTAGTATCTTTACCACAAGCTACTGTATAATATATTCATTAACGTTCTAGTATAATTACATTGCTGGAGACATATACTCCTATTGCTCCACCTCTAAAGATATATATTCCTGTTGTTCCCCTAGGAATATTTTAATTCTGAACAGTGCAACCTCTTTCAATTCATGCTGCTTTAACAATTTTCAGATGATTCTTTCCTGCATTTTTAAAATCTTTCATTTTAGTAATGAATTTAGTAATTACATTATACCATAATTAATTTTCCTATTCTGTTTTTGAACTAGCAACAAGACTGCTCACATCATCACTTACCTCAGCAAAACTCTCACCTATAAATCAGTTATCTCAAATAATCTTCCAGCATAGAATAAGCTTGCAAACAGTAAAATGAAAGAGAACAGGAAAAGACACAATAAACACATCATGATACTGTTTTGCAGCGTTTCATTTTAAAAGTTACTCTTGACATGGTCCAGCATCAGACACCAGTATTGGGAAGCCAGCAAAATTACACAAACCAAACAGTTCAGTATTTCCTGAAATTATTTGGGGTTTGTCGCTGTCAGTTTTATTTGTTTGCTTTGAGTTTTTGTGTGTTGTGTTTGGGTTTTGCTTTGTCTTGGTTATTATTATTATTATTTTTAATTGTCTCATTAGTTCCCATCCAATGACATTTAGGCCAAAGCGTACCTGGAATTTTTCACCCCGGTTCATCTGAGTTGATCGAAATTCAGGTGAATCTATAAAGGCACAGGGGTAAATATTATGCAGAAAATGCCCTCGATAAGAAACCTTCATTCTAGAAATAAAAAAAGTGTGAAACATCATTTCAGAACCACGGAGGTTGAATTATTTTATTAAAACTGAATATGATTACTGACAATGGTAATGCAGAAGGCTAAACAGACTGAAGTATGTACATCTTCTGGAGTTGGAGTCAACCTACTTTCTGCCTGAACCTCCACCAAATCCAGACGTAAGGTTAGCAGCCGATTCTGGTTGCCTGATGTGGTGTGCAACCTCAAAACACAACTGTTAAAAAGGAAAAAAAGATCTGAAGTGTGATGCTCTAAATCCAAATCAGAATCAGGCTTCCTTTAGATAACTAGTTTCAGGAATAAGCTGCTAATGACTTTGAAGAAAAGTGATGAAACCTGATGTCTGCACAGAGACTGCTTAAAATTTTGGGCATAACTTAGCAAGAACCTCAAGATCACAGCCTGGACGTGGTAATTTATTTTACCCTTTCTCATTTGGGTCTGCCAGCTAGGTCTGAGCAATGCACCTTCCCCCTTTCTGTCTGCATGTATAAAGTGCAATCAACTAATTTCAACAGGCCTCTTGGTTCAAAGCCTAATGGATGGTTATTTTCTCTTTCCCTCATGCACAGTACTTTTTAAACCTTAAAACCTGAGAAAGCACTCCTAACACCAGAACAAGCTTCTTGTTTGCTCTGAAAGACTCTTGTGTTGTAAGAATGTAACCCCCATTAGAATCAATATGGCTGTACACACACATGGAGGCACAAAGTTTTTGCATTAAGAGACATCACAGCCATTTGAAATAGTACCAAAAATAGCATATGGATGTATACTATGTGGCGATAGACCATCATAGGCAACAAACAGTAAGATTTAAAAAATTAACACAAATATCCATCAACTTTCTCATGATTTCAACCACCACACAACTCATAAGAAGCTTTATAGCACCTACTTCCCCTTCAGCAGGATGCTTAGCCTGTCATCAACTGATGTTTTATCCTCTGCAGCATAAGCTTGACCTGCCTTCAAAGTCTGAATGTTGCAGAATTGCCCAGTTAATCTTTGGAATAGCTCTGGAGGCACATGGAGTGGTTCAAACATTCTCTTGTACAGGCTGCTGAGCTCCTTCTCTATCTTGATCTAGAATGCAAACACAAAAGACATCAATACAGAGAGACAGTCTAGCCAAGAAAGGGTAATACTGCATGCATGCTTTAGCTGCTAAATCTGAGTAACATCTTTGTGTTCCTTCTGTTCAGGCAACAAAATAACTGGTAAATGCTACATCTATCCACAATGCTGCCTATGACAGGGTGACCAAAACCTTACCTAAAACTGCAACTCCAGCAATCTGGTGCTTCAGGAACAACATTTCATATAAAAAGTATGGTAAACCAAGCACATGGAATCTATTGAGACTTCTGATCTAGCAGTGCATAGAACTTGCACCAGATTTACACAGGAAAATAATGAGATTGCCTGTACTTCTCACACCATGCCCACAACTCATTTTGGCCATCTCTTGGGCTTTCCTGGGAATTTTCATCCCTTACTTCTTGGCTTACTTGCAGCAGAAAAGCAGGACTATGAGTCCTATAAGACAAACCCATCATTACAACACATGTGTGTTGAGGGAGAAAAATACTACCACCAGCTGAACATCCCATATCTAAGAGCCCACCCAAATTCATGCAGCAGCAGTGAGGGAAAGGAAGCTGGCTGAAATACCAAGCCTGGAGATCTTTCCTGAATGAAGGCAGCAGGGAATAGGACAGAGTTCTGGCCTTCCCGAAAGCAGAGGCTGCTTGAACAAACAAATTAGAAATAAGCACCAGATTATGAAAAGATAACATAAATAGGAAAAAAAAAAAAAAAAAAAAAAAGCAAGAAAGAAAAATGGTAGAAAAAGAAAACAAGTTACCACTTCAACAAATGAGAATGTTCCAAGTTTAGACTTGGAATCTATTCTTCCAGATTATTTATTTATTTAATTTTTGTATTTCCATATTAAAAATAGGGGAGAATTAAGCAACAGCAAAGTCCAGGAGTCAGTTTTCAGCTCATGGTAGCAAACAGAGCAAACTGAGAAGCTCCTGAGTATTCTGTACCTGGAGTAGGATGCAGTCCAAAATGACTAAGAGTCTCTGGACTAAGGCTCACAATGACTTCAAACTCTGAAGTACATACAATTTCCTCCCCAGAAAGCTATTTTAGGGCAAAAAAGTATTCATCTTCAGCCCTAAGAGATTAATGTTTCACATCAAAAACTCTCCCTGTTCTGGTAGAATTACATCCGAGTGCTGAACATTGAATCAAGCATAACAAAAGTTTCTGGAAAATTCATGATATTTGACCTTTATTTACTTCTAGAGCAAACTGAGCTGAAGCAGAAGCTTTACAGATTTGTGGAACCATGTTTGAAGGATACCACCCATCGCCTCAGCTACTGGATCTACCCGTCCCACATACAGGCAACAGAAGCCCATGGCAGTTCTTTGGAACTGACAAACACGTAGGCAGAGATGGTGGGTTCATCCCACGGAAACAGTAAACAGCTACTTACTAAATTTCTACACAGGAAGAGATAAAGCTGCTTAGGTGACCTTGACATTACCACTTCATGACATCACAAAATGGTCTTCACAGCCTTCGTTTTCCATAAAAGTTTAACAAAATAGTATCCCAAACCTGTAGACTTACCTTCTAACCAAAAAATGACACATAGAGAAATAATTTGCCTTACTGCAAAACAGACACCAATACCTGTTTTCAAACACTTAAATTAAAAAATTCCTCAAGAACTTCTGAGAACTTTCTTTTCATTATACATAGCAAAACTTACTATTAACTTTGTGAACATCACCCAAAAATATATTAAAATGTTCAGGTTTTGTTCATTTACTTTTTTGATCTATTCATACATATGCTTCAACCAAATGTCACTTACTGTCTCCTCAAAACATTTCATTAGATTTATTTCATTACTTTATATTTTGTTACATGGACTCCCTTTTCCTATACTACCAAAGAATATACATGCCATAGAAATGCTACCAGGACAGTGAAAAGGATGACTGGAATGAAACTGTTTGCACAGTATTAGCAATAAACTCAAAGAATCATAGAATGTCTCAGGTTGGAAGAGATTTCTTCCATCCTGTCCAAGTCTCTGCTCAAGCAGGGCCACTTAGAGCAACACCACCCAGCACCTTGTGCAAACAGCTTTTCAATACCGTCAAGGATGGAGATTCAACCACCTCTCTGGGCAACCTGGGCAAACACTCTGCCACTTGCACGGTAAAAAGTGGTTCCTGGTGTTCAGATGTTACCTCCCGTGTTTCATTTTGTGCCCATTGGCTCTTGCCCTCATACCAGGCACCACTGAAAAGAGTCTGGCTCTGTCCTCGCTGAAACTTCTTCTTCAGTATATGTACACACTGATGAGATCTCTGAGCTTTCTCTTCCCCACGCTGAGCAGTCCCAGCTCTCCCAGTCTCTCTTCATAGGCTGTGGTCTCTTCTCCATCATGGCCCTCTGCTGGGCTCCTTCCATTATGCCCATGTCTCTCATGCTGGTGACTGTCCTGAACTGTATGATTTCAAAGTATGTTCACATACACATGACATTAGGCAATTTGTTTTCCCCACAACCTTGAGGAACTCCCTCATTCTTAACAGACATATCAATTTAATTTGTACCTGTGCCTATCCATCACCACTGCAACTGAAAGAGAGACAAATTCCTTCCTCAAATGAATACAAGCAGCTCCCAAGACTCCTGAATCCAAAGCAGCGCATGCAGAGAGGATTTGGCCCTGGAATGCTGATCGTTCCCTTAACTGAGTACACAATTCCAATTTCATGATCTTCCTCTAACATTTAACACTTACAAAAGAAAGAAGGCACTCCTACTTTCCTAAAGATTGACCAGGTTGAGCAGTGTAGATATGCTTCAGATAGTCTTGCTCATAACAGACTATTCACCCTTCACATGCATAGCTGACTGCTTCTCCAGTCATGCTCATGGGTCATATTCCAAATGAGCCATACGGGGAGGTGTGATGTTTTGTTCAGCAGTGGTTGAAATATTCTGGGATCCTGCCAAAGCTCCAAGTCAGAGCTCTGTACAGACACTGAATAGAATCCTTCAGCTTCCACTCAGACTAAAAAAGCCAAATCTGTAAAGCTCCAAGGAATCAAACCCACAGAAATAATCTTCTAGTCAGAAAAGAAACTCACTGCATTTTGCATGCTCCATTTAATAAAATAAATATTTAACAACTGGAAATATTAATTATTCATTTTGTAATATCGCTAGCTTGTAATTATTCTTCCATTCTTTTCTTTCCTTAAAAATGTAATTTGTGAGGATGACTAAATAAAATTGATTTTGAGATGGGCAATAAAACAGAAGCAGAAAGAAAAAAACTCATTCAAAATCAGTTCCTAATAATTTCTTTTCTTCCTTCTTAGGCATTTTCCAGCTTTCTGTAGAATAACATTTAAACTGCCTTACAGTTCACAGTAGATAGAATATATCAAACAGCTAAAAAGATGTGTGACTATCACACATCACTTCAAGTAACCCTGTTGCTCATAGCCTGTAACAAAGTGATTCAGACACTGTTTGGGATGCTACCCTGTTTCCATGTAATTTCCACCATGTGATTGAATGAAGAGTTGAAGAGAATGAAAAATGAAGAGTTCTGTTTCCAGAGACACTGACAAACCATAGCACCACACCTGCAGCGGTGGTAAGAATACAAACTTCCTGAGAACCAGACCACAGATCCCAGTACAGTTTAGATAAGCAGTAAGTTATCTGACTTCTTCCTTATACTGCTACAAAACAGCAAGGAAATACAATCAAACTACTACATAAACACAGGTTAGTAGTTAGCAATAGCTGTACAGACTTACTCTCAAGCCAAAGGAGAGGGAAGGCAATACCACACCTCCCAACAGCTGTTAGGTACATGAGTTGAATTACACTGGACAACTAGCTTAAGCTGGATGTGTAACTTGTAGATAGAGAGAAACAAGGTGACTCCAACTCCACATTCCTCTTTCGTAAAGTAAACTACTGTCTCAGAAGTAGAAACCACAAGTAATTATTTGTGCTCTTTGAAAGTGCTCTTAATTGTTAGACTTGAGTTATTACATGATTCATTTAAGAGGCCTTTCATTTCTGGAATGAACTACGCAGTACTTCAGTATCAGTATGTGAGAGAGACTACCTAAGAAAACAGCTGATGCCTACGTAGAGCACCTTCCCATTACAGGTATTTGATATTCCTCCTACATTTTAACATTTGTTTCCTGCACACTTCTGTCTTTAGAAAGAGGTTCAATACTGAATAAGATTGAAGGAACTAAAGATTTACTAAAGGCACAGGTGGTAATGGTTTCAAGATTTTAATCTGATCTCTATCTAAGATAATAGAGAATGTCAAGAGCTTGTCATTCATTCTTAAAGTCAACTGTACTGACATTTGTTTGAAGACAACTCTTCCGGCACTAATGTCACTCTCAGCAGAAGTGTTCACAAAGGCTTCATACAGAATATGATTCCAGCAGGATCCCTCATTTAATTCTTTAGATCTGGTCAAGACCTGGAGTATGGAACTGTGGGTAACAATGTCAACTGGGTGCTTAAGATTCACTGCTACAACAAGTATTTTGGAAGTTGAGCGTGCACATCTACAAAGTTCACTGTTAAACAATCTCCACTGATCCCTGTAGAAGTTCCCAGCAGTTTTTTACTTACTTATTTATTTTTAAACTGAGGAGCCCAGAACTGGACACAGTACTCCAGATGTACCTCATGTCACATCCTGCCCATATGGAAAAGGAAGAGGTGACTCCTCACCAGGGCAAAGTAGAGGGAGAGAAGAACCTTCCTCAACCTGCTGGCCACATTCTTTTAATGCATCCTAGGATATCACTGGCCCTCCTGCCCACAAGAGCACACTGCTAGTTCATGGTCAACCAATCCATCAGGACATCAGGTCCTTCTCTGCAGAACTGCTTTCCAGCAGTTTACCTGTCTTTTCCAGCCCCTAACCTGTACTGATGCACGCAGTTATTCCTCCCCAGGTACAGGACTCTGGGCTTGCCCTTGCTGGATCTAAGTTTCCTCTCCAACCAAGAGATTATTTCCAGCAGTTCTGTTGTATCAAATGTTAAACGCTTCTGGAAAGCATTCGATTTTAAGTTATTCTTAAATAAGCAAGGTTACTCTGCTCAAAACCTGACAAAAAAATCTGACACCACATATTCCTGCAATCTTCACATTACAAATCCATATGCCTTAAACTCTGCAGACCACAGAATGTAATACTAACACTTGGAACACTTAGCACTTCATTAAAATTTGAGTGGTATGTAAAAGCAAATATTATATTACACGTTACCTAGTTTTGACATACATATACCAGCAGAAAGTTGGGTTGCTTATCATTCTGCAGAGACAGAAAATGCAACTCTGGATGAATAATAAAAACAAAATACCTTTCTATTGGATATACATTTAGCTGAATGCAGGGCAAAGTATCCTCTGGTTTTGGTATGCATTTCAAATATACAATTATGGTGCATTTGAAGGGAGGTATTTTAATGCACCATTTTGAAGGCAATGAAGGGAGTTGCAAAATTCTCAGCCGTGACTCTCATAACTCAATGAATACAATAAATGAGCTAAAAGAATGCATAAGAAGAGAAAAGGGCAAGAAGATTCTATTGTTTCCTTTTAAAAGCAACAGCAGAATCTGATTTATCTTATTTCCATTTTAAAAGAACATGACAGTAAAAACGTATGGATTAGCACACTTGTGTGCAAAGTGATGAATATGAAGGTCATTCATAAATATCAAAATAAGAGTCTGCTTTGGAAGCTTCTAATTTACCAGTCTCCTTTCCCATCACAGAGGCTATTTATGACTTAAAAATCTGACAGGAATGTTTTGCCCCTCCCAAACTCCTTAGTTTAAGCAATTACTGTTCTGGAATGCTCAATTTTAAATATCTTAGTAAGACTTTTATTTCAGGAGATCGATGTGCATTTACAAGTAGAAAGGTGGGTAAAATTACAAAAGACAGAAACAAGGGGAACCCAAAAGTGTTCCTGGTCTCTTGGCTAAGAAGCTAAGTAACTTTTCCCTTACTATCAGAAGAAAAAACAGCCAATAAAACAACCACTTTTCAAGAATATGGATTTCAAGAAAATATGTACTGAATGAGACTGACTGACAGCATTCTAATGGCCTGGATCCTTACTGGAGTTTTTGGTTGACTTAATTCAGAACAACTCCTGCAGAATTCAGTGATAGGTTTGTCCAGCAAATATGGTCAAAACTTTCTTTTTCTTGCATCTTACTAGCCTGCTTTGTGCAGTGTAGCTGATGTACATACCGGTCTTCTTTTATACACTAGGTATATGAAGTGTAAAAGGTTGACCACCAAAAACACAGAATTCCAGATCATTATGTCCAAGGCACAACGGTAGAGCGTAGCCCAAATGATGAACAATGCACATCCTGTAAGAAATTAAAAAAGGAAATTCAATGTCACTGGCTAATAAACACATTCTCTTATAAAAATCATCAAGAGTTTGTCCACTAAGTGCAAATAAATCCAAAAGTTTTACTATAGTTAGGCTCTGTGAATCAGCACATGCAGTGGTAGCATGAGTAATGACTACAATGCCATCAGGAGGCACTGGGTCTGCAGTCCTGCCATACAAGGCTACAATACTGAAGCAACAAGAATTCAGGAAGGGAATGGGGACAGCAGAAAGGTGCAGCCCATCATGGCCTGTTATTAAAAATCACATTAAAAAAGCAGCTTACAAAACTTGATTAGTGCATTAATTAGACAAACAATGGCCTAGAAACAAATGCCTCTGATACAGATAATGAACATTTATGTCTAACTAGGGAGCTGTATTTGCACAAAAATCTCCTGAAGTCATGCACAGATATTTTTGAAAATGAAAAGGAAAGCATCATCACTGTATTTTGACAAAGTCGTGGCAGAAACTAGAATCCTCTGGTGTGACATCAAAGAGAAATTTTCAAATGCTTATTCTTTTCCAGTTACTTTGTTTTGAATAATGACAATTGTTTTACAAGATAAGGCATGCTTAATGATCAGGGATGTTATTTTTAGCCTACAAAGACAGATGACAGGTTATGCATCAGTGAGCCCCCTGCAGATAAATGTGAAACAACTGGCCAAATTCAGCCATGTCCAATAGAGATGGATGTAGACAGATATATTTCCCCTTAATATTCATGCAGAAAAAAAAGGGATCAGATATGCAATTAAATTTCCTTTTCCTGTCTTTCCCTGAAGGTAATGCTGAATATGAACTCAATATTCTGTATGGGTGTCTGGCCAGGCAGCACGTTGATTTTTCTGATCCATATGTACATGTGATGGCCCTTGATCAGCTGCTAAATTAAACTAGGAAGAACTGAGGACGCTAAGCCTGGAGGAGTGACACTGTGGAGCAGCAGAGGACAAATATCAATAGGGACCAGATCTTCTGCTGCCCACAGATTAAATTTGCTTCCAATTGCCATCTCATCTTAACAAATTTTTTTTTCCTGTATCTGTTCAAAATGCAAGAAAACCTATGGTTCAAAGCTCTCCAGAAAAAATCTTACTTATTATAGATGATTTACTAAGCCAGAGCATCAGCCAATGAATAGTCCCAGCATTTACTTGAAGCCTAAAAGGTAAGGTCTTTAAGATATAAGGATTTCACTGCAATTTGGAATTCAATTCACTTTAAGCAGCTAGAGAAGTTTAAAGTAAATGCAGCACACTTGTTTTTAAGTCAACATCTACGTAGCTTTGAAGTTGTAAACTGCATCTCTGTGAAATTTTAAGATAAATAACCATTCTGAAAAATATCTGTCTAGGTCAGAATGGTCCTTGCCTTCAATAAAAACAACTTCAGCAGAACACAGAGTACATGGATACATGCTGGAATTTCACTGTGACCTGGAGATGCCCCTGTAATACTCCCCTGCTTCTGCCACAGGCAGGGTGCAAACTTCTCTGTAAGAAGTCACCTACCTATGGAGAGCAAACCTCGCAGAAAAATCATGTGAAGGTTCAGAGTAGTCGGAATAACCAGGCCAGCTGCAAAACAAATATTTGCCACGTGGAAAACAAGATGATGGATCTCCTTCCAGTTTTCACATGCAGTCTCATTGAAAGGCACAGAAGTGGCATTTTTTAAGTCTGGAATAACGCCTAGTGGAGTGAGTGGGCTGACTGCTGTACTGTCCATCTTGAAGAATCCTGCAAAGAGAAGACAAAAAACAAAAACAAAACAAAACAACAAACACACATTAAACTGAAACATTCATGGAAAAATGCTTTTGAAGGGCAACCTAGACCTAGATAGTTCAGTAACTTTACTCTCTCTTTTTCACCTAAGCGTTAAGCTTCAAGAATAGTCTACTTCAAATTTTGGAAGCCATGCATAAACAACATTGTTTGAACACTAGCTACTATAACTCACATTGCTCAGTGAAACATGCAGGGTATTGCTCCATGTCCTACACAAATAAGAATCACCTTTTTAGTCTCCAATGTACTGAATGGCTCCAAGATCACAAAGTCAATAGATCACAAGGGGAAATTAACCTGCATAAGACTTCAAAGCAAAAAAGGGTTCTTCAGTGTAAAGTTTCCTTAAAACACAGCAGAAGAGCCCTTCTACTAAACAAGGACTGGTGGTTTCTAAGGGAGGAACAATGCTGTTTCCTTGATTTAAAAAAAAAAAAAAAAAAAAAAAAAAGAAAAAGAAAGAGCCTTAACATCTGGCTCTCCAGCAGGATCATTTGGGGTCTCCTAAGCAACGTATTATTTAGCATTAATTAACCACAGAATGAAAAAAAACAAACAACCTGAGACTAAACCACCACCAACTCAACAAATTACTTCTGAAAACAGTAAATAAATATTACGGTTTCTTGGCCCATTGATGAGCTATCAGACCAAAAGGGGTGTCACCCAGGCTGGTGAGTTACAATGAAGTCCTTCAGGGAAACCACTTGGTCTGCCTATAAGCAACCTTGCAGGACTCTGCAGAACTCCAGAAGAAAATAAGAGAATTAAAAAAAAAAAAAAAACAAACCATGACTCCCAAATTAAAAATACATAGGGTTTTTTTCTTCTTGTTTGCTTTTGCACTGAGCACCTCTTCAACTCCTAATCTTGCTTCAGTGCCATCCATTCTCCTACTTCCCCCAGTCAACTTGTGTGCAAGACTTAAGCAAGTTATGCAATGTCTCAAAATTAAGAGTCTCTCCGCCCCCTTTTTAAAGCAGTGGGGAGAAAGACACCAGGAAGGAAAATTCAACCATCTCGTAGCTGTTACAGCTGTCAGTCGCCCAGAGTGTGTCACAGATAAGGCATGCTACAGAACACACAGAGACATTTAGCAGGATTAAACGCTGCAAGGACATGGTGTGCACCATCCCTGCGTTGAAATGGTTCTCAAAGAAAGAAAAGTATCTAGTTCTTAGAAAATAAAACCAACAATCAAAAAAACCACCACAGTTCTCTTATTTCTGTTCTTAAGAGCTCATTCTCCTCCCCTGATTCCTGCATCAGTCACTCACAAAGGCATGAACATGCGTTACTCTGAGTCGCAACCAATCATCAGGATTTAACATTTTTCAGGGCATACAAGAGAACTGAGGATGCGCTGCTCTCCTAAGGCTTGGTTGGAACGCCTCACATATTTGAAGACTCATAGCCCATGACAGTCTTTCTGCTCTTGCAAACTACAAGTCCCAGTGTCATGATCCAGCCTGGGTATCATGAGTCCTTCACCAGAAGGTGGTCAGATACTGGCACAGGCTGCTCAGGGCAGTGGTCATGGCCTCAATCTGTCAGAGCTCAAGGAGCATCTGGGCAATGCTCTCAGTCACATGGTCTGATTTTGGATGGTCCTGCACAGAGCCGACAGTTGGACTCAAGGGCTTCTTCTGGACCCCTTCCTACTTGGGATGTTCTAAGATTCCATGGTCATAAAGCAGCACAACAGAAGGGTTTCGCTAGCATGCACTGACCAAGCTAATGGAAATCTTTGTCAGTAGAGCATCCATAGCTGTAACAAGGGGATGTTCAGTGCTTTTGAGCCTCTGCACCATCTATTTAGCTGCCTAAATTACAACCTGGGAAGCTAAATCTAGACACGTCTGTCTTTTATAAGCTAACACCTTGAAGTCTTCATGATTACATGTGATAACTGCAGCACCCTAGCCGTACTGGAATGAGATGGAAAGTTGATTGGCCTAAAAGTGTTACCCACAGTTAATGCCAGGAGGTCAAAAGTGAGAACTCTGATTTTTAGATCCAGTTCTTTAGTCTTCACCTCCAATGCTGTCAAGTTGCAGCATGAGCTAAAAATCTGCTGTTCAACAGATGAACCTCAGTGCACCAAAATTTCATTTTAGAAGTGCAGAATCAGCCCTTTACAACTTTGATGTAGGGTTATTTCCCTTGAGAAACTGTCCTGGTACAGCACAAGTAATATCATGGTAATATCAAAGATGAAAGTACAAACAGTGCCAAATCACGTTGGAGAAAAGGGTGGAAGTAGTATCAACTGAAACATAAGAGTTATAGCACAAAGTTTTGTAGTACAAGACAATTAAAAGAATACTACTTATTACCAAATAATTTTTCTTTCATATAGGTTTAGATATACCACAGCAAGAGTTTATCCAGCTGACTGAAGGCTCAAGCCAGCTGGCAGATCTGAGAAAAAGGAACACCACACAATCTCAGCAGCACTGCAATACTAAATCCATCAGAAATTAGCACAGCTAGCAGGAAAGCCTAACCAATTTTTCTTACATGCATGACACTTGTAAAGAGTTACTGAAATACATTCTCAGAACACAACTGAATACTCCAGCTGAGTTTGCTGTCACATTTTCCTGTGCTCAAAACATCTTTATACGTGGCCAGACATTTGAAATCCATTCCCAAAGGTCCCCAAAACCTCAGATGCGTTCCAAAAGGGATTTGGAGAAGCTGTGCCGGGGGTTTGCCGAGCTGATTCAGGACACATGGAACAGCCAGCTCTCACCGTGCACTTCCTAGAGGACACTCGTTCGAGGCACCATTTTCCTTTTCATAACGAAGTAGGTGCGAATGGAAAAGCGCTATAAGAAATGCTTCCTTTCCGTACGCTCTTTAGGGCAAGTTCACTTCAGTTAAACGTCGGCAACTACGATGAAATTACTCTTCCCCTGCACCTAACTTCGCCGCATTTTCACTGTGCGCAGCGAACAAGAACGCACACCTGCGAGGAGCACCTCCCGCCGGCTCACAGCCACGGCAGCCCGATGACAGCACCGCATCGCACCGCAGCCGCGCTGCCCGCCGCGGGCCGACACCGCCCGCAGAGGCACGGCACGGCCCCGCCGGATGCGGCCACAGCTGCCGCCTGTAGCCCCGCTTTCTACCAACGCCTCCAAGCTTTGTTTTACCCTCAAACGCGCGTGCACCAAAACGAATAATTCCTTGGGCCGCTTTTAAGATTAACGAGTCGAGCAGCCCGCCCTGCCCGCCGTGGGGCAGGCGCCGCACCTCACCCTACTGTACCGTGAGCCGCGGCACGGCGCCGTCCCGAGCCCGGTTCCACCGCCCCCGGCCCCTCACCTGTCCCCGTGCCCCCTGCCGGGCGCCTTCGGCAAAGTTTCCCGGACGAATGGACGGCGCGGATCCCCGCTCCTCGCAGCTCCCGGTGCCGGCAGCCCCCGCCCGGCCCCGCGTCCCGCCGCGGCCCCCCGCCGCCGCTGTGACTAAAATAGGCAGCAGCCGCCGGCGGGCTGCGGGAGGCGCCAGCCCGGGGCAGGCAGCGAGCGGCCGTAGCGCGCAGGCGCCTCCCGCCCGCCCGGGGGGCTGCGGGGCTGCCCGGCGCGGCTGCGGGGTTCGCGTCGGGGAAGGCGGCTATGTGGAGCCGTGGCGCGAAGTGGTGTTTCGATGCCTGGTTCCCCCGGGACGACGGGGAGAGCGGTGCCCGTGTGGGGCGAGCCCTGAGCTCAGGCAGCGCGCCTGGCATTTGGGTGGTTAAAATTAGAAGCACTGAATTCCCCCCTAAAGAAGCGGCAAGCAACGTTTCCCCTACATGGTGAACCAAGGCGTCAACAATGGGCTTTGTAAAACCTCGCCTCGACTTGGCACCTGCCTAGGCTGCTCTGTCACCCGCAGGGTGTTCCAGAAACGCCAGCAGCAGGAGCCCTGCAAGCCCCCCCAGGCCACAGGTGCCATGCTTGCCCCTGGGGTGCTGAGAGACCCCTCACGCTCCCACATGGCACTCCCAAACTGCTGGCGTGCACCATCCTGCCACGGGGACACACTCGCAGTCTGTGGCAGCCTGGGAGCAGAGCTGTTTGTCCAAAATGCGTTATGAATTGTGAAGGACTTCAACGGGGCTGTGCTTCCTTTTGGGAAGAAGTGAGGAGCTGGGTTCACCTCCTGTCGATGCGGATACAGCACTACTGCTCTGAATCCCGCAAACATAAATTAACCTGACAGGAGCCAGACATGAAAACTGTTTGCTCTATGTTTATTTATGAAGGGGCTGACTCCACACAGCCAGATCAATGTTAGAGAACCGTGGTGATGCATGTTGTTTGCAGAGCTGTTTGTCAGAGCAGATTTTCCCTCCACTGTGTTTTCGCTATCTTAGCTTTGGCAGTTCCTGTACTTTCATCAGTTAGTTATTTCTCAGAGTCATGGTCCACCACAGAAAATGGCACCAAGGCTGCAAGTCACCTCATTTTGCCCCTTAGAATCACAGAATCATTATGGTTGGAAAAGACCGCAAAGATCATTTAGTCCAGCCATCAGCCCTTCTCCACCATGCCCACTGACCATCTCTCTCAGTGCCGCATCTACCCTTTTCTTGAACACCTCCAGAGGCAGTGACTCCACCACCCTCATGGGCAGCTTGTGTCACTGCCTCACCACTCTTTCTGAGAAGAAATTCTTCCAAATGTCTCCACTGCTGTGCTCTGTGCTCCTCACAGCCTAACTCTTGGTGCTGGGCCCTGCTTAGAACTGTGGGGCAGCAAGAGGCTGTGCTGAGCCGCTGCCACATAGCTCCTTGTCACTTTGCAAGCGCTCATCCTCTTCCCAGTGTACACCACTGATTGCATGACCTTTTTTAGGCAAAGTTTTCACTGAAGAGGGAACAACAGCTTTGTGTACCTCGCTGCTGTACCCTGGGTCCCAGATGTGCCAGGCTGATGTGGTTATTTTGAGACAATGGCAAG